CATCCCTGTGTTGACAAACATTTTAAGAACAAACTTATTCAAAGTCATGCATGTAATATTTCCATGAGGAAACCATGTTTGGTTGTAGAAAAGAAATGAACTTGAATTGCCTTGTGGCTTCAGTGAGTTTGCGATGGATTTCTTCGTAGACATCAACATTAAAGGTTCTTTGGACAAAGGACAGGGCCATCTTCAGTGCTTCCACTCGTAGCTGGGGGCAGTGGTCTGCAATAAACTGCAGCCTCTCGATCCTCATCAGCCCACTGTAACTGGAGGCATACTGCTCTAGATCCTGTGCAAAAATAAAGTCAGCTCTCAGTTCATCAAAGTCCCAAAAAATGTTGTGACTCGCATTATATCAGCGCTATATTGATGGCCAAACAATATGACATATGCTCATTTCCCCAATTTTTTAAACTTAAATTAAATGAGCATTAGATAATGGCAATGTTGTTACTGTTTAAACAAAAACTATTACAATAGTTTTGTTAATTGTAATAAAGCTGAAATAACGTATAAATTTAAGATGAAAAACAACAGCAAAAAACTAAACATAGATATGTTGCCTTGGAAGCTAAATACAAGTACTATAAATTACTAAAACTTTAATAAAAATAAATTAAAGCTAAATGGAAATATTAAAAATTAAAACTAATAAAAATTACAAAAGCACATAACAAAATCACTCAAACTTAAACTAACATTAAAATTAAATGTGAAACTATAAAAAACTACAAATTTAAAATATTAATAAATGCTATAACAATATATAAACAATATTAAAATAACACTGAGGTAAATACAAATGACATTAATAATTAAATGTCAAATGCATCTTTAGCAAATCTCAAAATGAAAATCTTTTGTACTTTAAATTATAATGCTGTGTGATCCCTAAAATCCCCATGTAACATTTAAAACGGTATGTTTTTTATTTTTAATATCAAATTATTACAATATATAATTTTAATATCAGCCATTTACTGGTTATTAGACGGAATCTCTACCAAAAAAAGTACAACTTTTTCTGTGATTCTGAAAATGATCAAAACAACAAGAGAATTTAGATGCTGCATGATATTTTGTTAAAAATAATTAAAAAATAAGAAGTTAATGATTTATAATAGCGAACAGCTTAAGGAAGCGAGTACACAAGTGTATACAATGATACATACCAATGTCGGGTTTTCCACAACATAGTTGGTGTCAGGCGCATTCTGCTGGTCTTCCTGAGGGTCAGCATCTATCTGCATGGGCTCTACAGACCCCTGTTAATACAGGAAACACCATGTTTAACACTCTGCACTGGAGGAATGTATTCAAGTGTAGGTGAACAAAATCAGACATCGAAGAACCAATATCCTTACCACCAAACAAATCTTGTGTGGAAAGAAAAACATAATACCACAACACTGAGTGACAGCTCCAAGGCTTTCAGATGGCTTCACATCCTATCTGCCTTCATTGTGTGGTTACCTCCAGTGAGTATGATGAGGAGCTTGAGCTGTACACACTGAATCCGGTAGTAAAAATCCATGAACAGATCAGACACGCTGCTTTGACCGTTGAAGTTCAGCTCTACCCATGAGGACGAGGCTGATCTGACTGGCAAATTCAAGCTTGCCCTGAGCCTGCCCTGAACCTGCCCTTCAGCATCCTGCTGACCTGACTGAAAATACTCCTGCAAGAAGGCGGATGCTTATAAAATCACACTGGGGTGGCAGCAGCACCGAGACAAAAACAAGTCAAAGTTGCTGAAATGAACACATAAATATAAACCAAACAAATTGAAGAATGTTTCAACTTCAGAAGTGAGGGTTTAACGATATTCATTAGATGAAAAAAGTGGCAGCAACAAGTACACACTGGCTTCTCACATGCAACATTTTGACACAGATTCATAACCACAAAAGACAATGGGAGGGACACATCCCCACCAAATTTCATCTTACTAGTCAAACATTTTGTTTTTTCAATAACAGATTGTTTAAAACAGCATTTGTCCACCCATCTTGAATAAACGGTTACATCGTTAACCACACAAACTTTCCAACACCCAATATTTTTTAAGATTACATAACACTGCATTAAATGACCTGGGCTGTCATTCTTGATTAACTACATTATAATGCACACGCTCATAAATGACAGTCTAATATAACTGAATCTAACTACGGTTTCTAAAATTGAAATACTGCTCAATAAAATATGAGCAGCTCCACAGTGTTTAATCATTTTGGTCAAGAAAACTAGATCAGGCTTAAATTGAAATATTCAGTGCTCTATATTAACCTCTGCAAGCAAATGATAGAGGCTGTGCCTCAAAACCTAGTGTGCAACCTACCTAGACAGTATTTTAGAGCCTCATATGAAGTTGTAGAGCACTTAAACGAAGCATAAAACGCGTTCTAGCCAGGCAAAATGTACTATGCTTTGAAACACAGCCTGAATTTCAAGCACACTGGCTAAATGATACAAAATAGACAGCTTGCTAACGAGATAGCTTGCTAAACACACTTAGCCGGCTAAAGAAACTTTATACCCAAGTGTTTCACAAGCGACCCAGAGAAAACCTACTGGACCACTTTGGGTGTAAACCAAAACAGCTCTATTGGATGTATTCACTGTCGAAACTGCATTGGTCTCGCTCCTCGGGCGGATAGAGGCGCGCTGTCGCTAAACTTGTCGCGTCCTGAGGGCCTCTCTGACTTACGAGCTCATGCTAGACGAGCTAACAGCTCTCAACGGCTGCGATAGGGGAGGAATTGACACTGTAAACAGAGGCACTTCAACTCGGTGCGCTTCTTCTAGCTACTCTCGTGTTGTGGAAGACGACGGAAAAGCATTTAAAGGCGCTAATTTACCTGAAAGTTAAAGACCTGCACGGGTAGTGGCATCTCCTCCTCCTCTGCAGAAACAGAGCACACAAACACATCCGGGGCATGAGAGTGCGCGTGGTGGACGTCACTACCTTCACACCCCGCGAGTCACTGCACTCTCATGTGGGTGGCATATTTTGAAGGCTCAAGGCCATAAAATAATAACAAAAACACATTTACAGTGCACATTCTTACATGAGTGGCTGATTTTATATTGAGGCAGCGTCTGGTACACGTCTGTTAAAATGATGTAAATGCTGTCGAGCATCTTTATTGCTTGGGTTTCTGACTTTGTCTTAAATATACTTAATACCATACTTAATAATTATGTCTGAAAATATTTGCTAAATAGTTCTATTTATCATATTTTCTCATATTTATTTTATGTTTTTGTAAAGTCAAGTTTCTCGATATAATACTATAATGACCACTTTACTATTTAAAATGCTTAAAATATTTACTATTTTTGATAGTGATTAGATTTTTAGTGAACTGTATTAAAACCAATTTGGGTCAGTTTGAACTGCAAACATAATAGTTACTAATTATACTAATAGTATATGGAACCAACAACAATAAAATCTCGTTTCTGTATTTTAATTTATAGATAATAAGAGTGAGATTTCAATAATATATATATATTTTTTTACCACTGAACTAGGTAATGTCCCTAGTTTCCATGTCAGAAATCTGGTCACCTTAGTTTGGGTGTTGGTTACGTCTAGTTATGTAAGGGATATTGTACACTGAAGAGTTTATTTTGAGATAATGACCCATTGGCTGTACAGTATCCAGATGTTTCTTAGCAAATGAATAAAGGACCACACAACAGCCACAACCACACCTTCACAATGATGTCTCACTCGTACTGATTTATTTTTTTTGGCAAGAACTGAAACTGCGACTGAGATTATGTACTGTATGTGCCAGTGATTTAATTTTCTGTCATTAGTTCAATAAAAACAAAAATGCCTAATGTTAATGCATACTAACAAAACATAAATGCTCAAATGGCACACATACACACATTTTTTAAACTCATTAAAATTGAAATATTAATCATTAAAAGGTAAAAGATCATTTCAAAGAATCATCTGAACACTTACAACTGTTAAAACATTTTGTTAGCCCAGCACAAAAATCAGTAATGGCACACTTCATCGTGTTTGAAACATATCAAAATATACAGGAAAATATTTAGCAAAAAAATAAATAAATAATAAAGACTTTTAAACTAGATGTACAATCTACACAAAATTGTTTTCATTGTAAGTTGCAGTATGTAGTCCATTAAACATTACAGACAATTGTGATTACAGCTTATTTTATATAGTATTATTTCTGTTTATAGTATCTAATAATAGTACTTTATAGGCTAACAAATATTTCAGTGTGTAATATTTCTGTCATTGTTTAACAAATTATCACATACAGTAGTCACATTAAAACACAGGTACTGTATGAAATGTTTAACAGGCAATAAAAGCTGAAAGTAAAATACTTAAAAATGCATCTACCGTCACCCCTCAAGTGAGAGCATTAACTATGGCCACTTTAACAGGCAATAAAAGCTGAAAGTAAAATACTTAAAAATGCATTTACCGTCACCCCTCAAGTGAGAGCATTAACTATGGCCACACATTTAAGTCGCAAAATATCTATGTACATAATCTTCTGACACATTCACAGATCCCAAAATTATGTGCAGATAAAATATGAATAGTCACGATTTCCACACAATAAGCTCTGAAAAATTTAACATTTGTTGCAACAGGGCAAAGAACTTTACAGTTAGCTATGCGTGTTCTTTAGTAACTAATTATTCATCCTGATGCCATGGCCTTGTGTCATTCCCTTCCAATAAATTTTCACATTAAACCAACAATTTAAGGCAAAGTTTAATAAAAACAAAGCAAATTTGGCATATTTATGTTGATATGTGACCCTGGAACACAAAACCAGTCATAAGTCGCTGGGGGATATTTGTAGCAATAGCCAACAATACATTGTATGGGTCAAAATTATAGATTTTTCTATTGTCCTATCATAACAAACCATACATCAATGGGAAGCTTATTTATGCTTTCAGATGATGCATAAATCTCAATTTCAAAAAAATTGACCTTTGTGACTGGTTTTGTGGTCCAGGGTCAAATATATCTGTTATACCAGACATACCATGGAAATGCATCTCTCTGCAGTTTGTCACCTCACAAGCTGGATTTATCTGTTGCTAACAGCAGAGCTGAAGAGCAAGAGCCTGCTGTTTACATGGCATATCAATGAAGAAATGAGTTGCGAAGTTTCTCAAAATACAGTACACTTCTTGCCCCTTTTCTTTACAGGTGGAGGACATAAAACAGCGCGGATGGCCTCATCAAACACGGTTTTTAAACCCCGTTGAGTAAGAGCAGAGCACTCCAGATACTTCACAGCACCTACAAAGCCAAAGATTTCAATGAGCCAACTATACACGATACAATTCCACTATTAACACTATAACACTATTATAGCACATTGAAAAAGTTCTAAACTGTAAAAAATATAAATTTTTTAAAGTTGTAAACAAAGACTATTTAAGTACGTTTAATACATATATATTTCAGTTTTTGTACTTCAAATTTTCTCGTTTAATTAATTGCACTAGCAAATTTTATTTGTAAAATTTACTAGCAATTTTTTTAATGAAAATTGTTTCTACACCAATTTTTTTTCAGTGTAGGTTAGTTTTTAAAAAAAGGAAATAAACCATATACATATTAAAAAAAACATTCTCACCAATCTCTCTAGCCATAGCAAGCCCTTGCGGATAAGTGATGGGAGCTAGTTTCTTATCCCGCAGACGTTCAATCGTGTCTTTGTCATCTCGCAGATCAAGTTTAGTGCCCACAAGTATGATGGGGGTGTTTGGACAGTGATGGCGAACCTCTGGGTACCACTACAAAGAGAAATCTGGTTAACACAAGGCACCCTAATAGCTTGTGGATCTTGTTAAGGAATCCAAATGCTCAAGAAATATTTCTTATTCTTCAGTGGATACTAACCTTTGCTCTTACATTCTCAAAGGAAGCAGGGCTCACCAGTGAGAAGCAAATTAAAAACACATCCTGTAGAAAGCAAAGGAGACTCTTTGTAAAAATCAATGTCATCAATTATTCATTTCTGATTACACTGCATTATATAATGCTGAGGTTGTCAGAAAACGGAAGAATCATTTTTAAAAACTTTTTATAACCTTTTTAAATCATTTATCATTTGAAGAAAGCGCAGTACCGCTCAAATGTTTGGAGTCTGTACGATATATTAATGCACTCAAAGAAGCTCTTTATGCTCACCAAGGCTGCACTTATTTAAATAATACATTTAGATGTATTATTACAACTTAAAATAACTGTTTCTATTTGAATATATTTTTTAATGTAATTTATTCCTGTAATGGCAAAGTTGAATTTGTTTTGTGGAAACGATAAATTTTTTTCAGGATTCTTTGATGAATAATAAGTTAAGAACAGCATTTATTTGGAATAGAAATGTTTTGTAACACTATACACTGCAAAAATAGATTTTCTTACTTAGTATTTTTGTCTTGTTTTCTAGTATAAATATCGAAACATTCTTGAATCAAGATGCATTTACTTGACAATTAAAATTATTTAAAGGCACAATATGTAAGATTTTTTTATTAAAATATCCAAAAACCACTAGAACAGTGTTATATATTTTGCTGACTTGTGTACTTACATTATCCCAAATGTTTGGAAGAATGTTTAAATCCAGAGAAATAAGCAATTTTAACTAGTGACACGGAGCGTGTCCATAGTGTCATTGTGTCGCCTGCCAATGACGTCATAACCCCTCGATTTCCGGTTTTGTTTTGTAGAAAACATGGAAACACCAAAGATGCTTTAATATGTTGTGCGTTTTAATAGACCGGTGACGACCGCACAGAGTAGCATTATAACAGAACGTTCAAATGTACTGTATCTAGTATGATGAAACAGCACTGCTTTTTCCCCCACATACACACGACCGGAAGGAGCGGAAGCGGTCGACTGTGGCATAATAAAAGCTCCGCTGCTTTCGAGCCGTGTGTCACGCTCGTTCAGCGGCCTCGTTTCGCTTCGACGGCTTTCAGCCTCACCCTGCTTCATTCTACTATGTTAATAAATCATTAGCTCATCCATGAACATGATTTCTGCCCGAGTCCCGTCGGATTGCATCGGCTGTGGGGATGAAGACCACAACTCCCATGACTCCACACTCAGTCACAGCGTCATCAAGCTACGCCTTTGTCTCTTTGTTTATTTTGAATACGCGCCCTCTAGCGGCGAAAATTACATATTGTGCCTTTAAGATATTAAGTCTTGTTTTCTAAAAAAAATTCTCAAAATTTTGTTAGTTTTTGCTTAGAACAATCAAAAATATCTGCCAATGGGGCAAGAAAAATAATCTTAATTCAAAGGTTAAACAAGATAATTCTTCTTGCCCCATTGGCAGATATTTTTGCTTGTTTTAAGGAAAAACTAACAAAATTTTGATATTTTTTTACAGAAAACAAGACATAATATCTTAAGTCATTTTACTTGTACAGTAAATTCATCTTGATTCAAGAATTTTTAGATATTTATACTAGAAAACAAGACAAAAATACTAAGTAAGAGATTTTTTTTTTTGCAGTGTCACTTTTGATCAGTTTAATGTGTCCTTGCTGAATAAAGTATTTAAAAAATCTTACCCCAAACCTTTGAACGGTAATGTACATTTTCATAATGAAGGACAGAGGAAAGGTGGGGGGATTCATATTTTTCAAAAACATTGTATATATTTGAACAAACAAATAATTCATTTGGATACATGCCCAAATCCCTGTCCAGTGCTCAAAAGAAATAAGATCCAACTAAAGAAAAAACTAGTCTCTGTACCAAAATGTATTGCTGGTTATTTACAAAGCAATTATAAAGCGTTATAATTAATGAAGTCTAGTAATGAGTAAAAGAAAAAAAAGCATCTTGACTAAACAAAAAACACTGTCAAAATTGTGAAAAGAAAAAGTTTTCAACTCCGGATTACACGGCCAATCACGGAGATATTTACGCACCGTTTGGGGATAGGAGAGTGGTCTAAGGCGATCATAGTCCTCTTGTCCTGCTGTATCCCAGAGGCCTAAGTTGACAGGTTTACCATCCACCATAACATTGGCAGAGTAGTTGTCAAATCTGAGGGTCACACACACAGATTTTTCAGAACATTTCAGAAACACATCCACAGACGTAAACTGCAGAGACACAGGAATAATTCCCGTTTCAAAGTATCAAACTGTACTCACACTGTGGGAATATACTCTCCTGGGAAGGCATTAGTGGTGTAGCTGATGAGCAGGCATGTCTTACCCACGGCACTGAAATAGAAAAGATGCTAAGTGGTAAGTGTGACTGCAGTACTGAGGACCGAGGACTGCACATACACGGCACATCAAGGAAACAATAGTGGAAAGCAGGCAGAAAGAAAGGCCTGTAGTTATTCATTCAGGCATTACATTCACTCTTGGGCTCGATGGCACGCTGGCAGCCACTAATTCACAGTTCTGTTCTCAAATGAACTGCCCCGCCGGATGAGGAGTGAATACAGGGTGACAGCTTCTTGTCATGAAAAACACACACTGCATGTACTTACACAGAAAGAGGAGTAAAGAGCGTAGACAGGAAATGCAGTGGCAGGGTGAAAAGTGATAAAAAATTAGGAAAGGAAGAGTAAGAGTGAGGAAGTCTGATAATAAAAGGGGTAAAAATAGAAAAAGCAAAGTAAGCAGGCAAAAATGAAAGACACCTGAATTTGTATTCCTGTCATTAGATCAGTAGGCTGTGAGTTTCACATGGCAAATGACAGAAAGCGTGTACCATGAGACAGGGGCTAAACCTTAAATGGTTACAAGGAAACAGCTAATATTAATTCTCCAAGGTCTAAACGAAACTATGAATTAAGCACATGCATTTAACTAATACCATGAAATAAGTACAAATCACACCAAATACTAGGCCTATAGAGATAATAAACAGTTTGGCCAATATTTTTTCTGCTTGACATGTATTGTAAGCTAAAACAGTACTAGTATTATTATTGTTAAAATTTTATAGTACTTATTGCATTCTACTGTTGTAGTCTAATAATTATCTAGTGATTATTTAAAAAAATTAAAATCAAAAACTGATGAATAGTGGTAATGGGACACTTTAATGTTAAAAATAACCGGTATGGGTAATGAAATGATCATAAAAACAAATGCTAGTTGATATCTACCAAACGCTTACAATGCAACTATTTGTTTCGTTCGATGTTTATCATCGCTGGGGGGAAATACCGTTTCAAGAATTTAGGAAGGAATTAGGCTGGTTTTATGATGCGCTCTGATCAAAAAGAATGACTTATTAAAAGGTTAAGGATCAAGTTCAGGCTCACAAGCACACGATCATTTCCACCCGAGCTCTAGCGATGTAGCTGTGAAACAGGACATCATTGCACAGCCGTTGCAGCGTACTACACGCGCATCTCATTTCTACACTGCACGAGATGCGTTTAATGTTTGCATGGTTTACATGTCATCATTGCCACAATACTTTAAAGCGAAATCGATTCATTTAAAAATGGAACAAATGGAAACAATTGTAAACGCCTGAGCATATATTTAACAAAACAGCCATCACTAAACACAGCCTTACAATCTAATTTTAAACCATAATGATAACAACTACGGTGTCTCGGAGAAAGACACGGTAATATTTAAAAATGTTTAATAATTATAAAACCCTCAATTCTGTCTCAGCAGATCTCACTCATCCGCTGAGCCAAACCACAATCCCCGCTCCCCAGCTCCTTCTCGCAACAATTGCTTTTCCCCAAAAGAAAACCTCCGTACAAAAATTAGCAATTTTAGCATTTATTCTTCAACATCTTACCCGTCGCCGACAACGACACACTTAATGGCTTGCATTTGCAGTGCACGAGTAGTATCCGACGAGCGAGGAATCTGAAGAAATAGCCTGAAATGTGATGTTAAGGCGCCTGTGGGCTGGTACGATTGCTATTCAGCTGCAGGCAGCAGCGGTCGGTGGCAGTCGGGGGTATTTCACGATATTTCCGGAAAAAGACGAACACAAGGTTCGTACGCTTTCGGAGATCTCGTGAGTCTGCCTGCTTCTCTCTCATTCCGTATCACAGTACAATGCGCCTGTGAAAATATTATTAAATTCATAGATAAAGAAGTAAACACTGCACGTTGAAATTAAAAAACAAACAAACAAACAAACAAACAAAAAAAACCAGGTTAACATATTAAAAGAAACTAGAAGTAGTGGACGGAACTGAGATTTATTTTACATGATAGGGTTAAAGGAACAACTGTCATTCCAGTGCCAGACAGTTGGGATGACAGTTGTTGTATTGGGTGTGGAGGGGTGGGGCAAAATGATACAGAAATCTCTGAAAAAATGCCATTAATTCACATGACTACAAATATTTTGGGAAGAGTCAACTCCCTGGGGGTGGATAATATGAAGAGTCCTTAAATAACAGTCGTCAAAATCAATATACCATACAGCCATTTTAACAGTGAGATGTCTTCTGCAAAATAGCCTCTTAGAAATGATTTTGTTTTGTTTTTAATTACAAGGTTACACTTTATTTTAAGGTGTCATTGTTACAGTATAATTATACATTTAGTAAGTACTGAGAAATATTATTTGAGTAATACTATATGGTTAGGGTTAGGATTATGGTGTGGCTTAGGGTTAATTGCATGTAATAATGCATAATGAATTGCTATTATAATAGTAATTACATGTAACAAGGACACCTTAAAATAAAGTGTTACCAATTAATTATTGCTGTAATTTCACTGTATACATATAGTATGGTAACACGTTATTTTAAGGTGTCCTTGTTACATGTGTTAAATGTACTTACTTTTATAATAACAATTAATTATGCAAAATTACATGCAAGTAACCCTAAACCAAGCCCTAATCCTAACCCTAAACATAGTAAGTACATGTAGTTAATTAATATTACTCAGTACTTAAATGTATAATTACACTGTAACAAGGAACTCCTTTTAGTATTAATTGGGGATGAACTGTAGCTTACGGAATTAAAAGTAAATGATCCAGGATTTATGTTTGATCCAGTATGATTAATTCAATGTATTTTATGCCAAAATATGTAATCCAAAAACCATGTATTACAGGCCGCAAGTAGTATTAATATTTGAATCTGTAGTCCTTGAGAGAAATACTCTACAGTACAGGAAACACAAGACACTTACATATTCAAGAATTAATCATTTTATTGCTTGACCTGCCATTGGGACAATCTATACCAAAAGGTTTACAACTTGAGCACATCCAATGAAATCAAACCGTACACAGATATAGAAAAAGAATAATAGAAAAATGGTCCTCTGACATTTTACAACTCTCTGTGCTGAGGGCTTAACAAACTGAAGAATGGGTAAACAGGAATCTCTAAGCCTTGATGGAAAAGCCTACAAGCAAATATATAAATTCCTCTGTACATATTAGAACACAATTTTACTGAAAACTTCAGAAGAAAACACCATTGGCAGTCACAACCAGGGAATGAAAAGCAAACTTAAAAAAAAAAAAAAAAGGTTGAGGGTGGTGATACAAACTCACTTCTAGTGTATCAATGAATGTTCTTCAAGAAACAGGCCTGAAGTTGTTAATAAATCATAATAAAAGTAAGCAGAAAATTGAATTAGCGGTGGAACAAATCACTTAATTTATTCATAAAAGGGAGAGAATTACAATAAAGTTTAAATTATGCATTTTACAGAAAACAGGGAAAGACTTATGGTTCATTTGATCAATTCTGCACTGCCAAATGAAGTTAAATGAACAAAGCAATGCATATATGAGCAATAACAAGTACACCATTTAGCAATTGTATGCCTAACAAATGGTGTCACAGTTTACATTAAGGACTAAACAAATAACTTAAACATGTTTATTTATTCAACCCCATCATAAGGCATAAACCACTCAGTGAAAAGACAGTAGAACGGTTAATCAAAGGCTACTCTTCACATATCATTAAGGGTGCAGATTGTGTCTTTAAAGCTACAGCACTGAGATTTGACTGATTCTGAAATTATAATCCAGTCTAAAGGGCCAGAATCTGTGAATGAGCGTCTTTTCCCAGACAACTGCAGTGACAATGCAGTAAGGCTCTAAAATGCTCTTAAATCAAGTGTCAGAGTGTAAAAAGACAACAATTCCTCCATGTGGTCAGTAGGACAAAGTCAAATAGTGAAGATAAAAACACAAAATCTAGGTCAGTTCACTTGCACCTTTCGTTAATTAACACAGCAATTTTGGGACAGTTCAGTTAAATAAACTCTTAATTACTGGAGCTTCAAGTCTAAATAAATTACACTGCTAAGGGTATCTGTATATACCGATGAAAAAAATATTGTAGTTTACAGATAATACAGGTAACAAGCTGACATTATGAATAGAATTGGGAGGGGAAAAAAACTACAAGGAAATGTCTGTTGGCTATGCATTATGAAAGTAAAGAAATCAGGCACTTTTCAAAACCTAAATTTGCTCGAGTCTGCAATATAAAGGAGCTGGACATCTGTATGATCACATAACGCAAGATGTGTGGAAAACAAAAATACACAAATTTAAAATTCACATCAACTGTTTTCAAATAATACAAGAATATCTCTGTGTGACAATTTAAAATCTACCTTCAGCAACAGTTAACACTATTGTACCACCCAGTAAAATCATACAACACAACTCGGAGAACCCTAAGAACAATATCTGATAAGAGATTAAGATGGTGGCAGTAGCGGATCGCAGATCTATTCCAATCATTTGATGGATCCTAACCCTCATGGCATACAGACACCATGAACTCAACACAAGCGGTAAATACTGTCCCTGTTTTAAGACTTGGATTTAACTAAGGAGAATCATCTAAATCTCAGTCAAAAAAGGACACTGATCATTTGAAAACTATTTTTCTTAGTCCTGCCCTGTTGATAAACCAAATTATTTCAGCTTAAATTATAAAAGAAAGAAAGAAAGAAAGATTGGGGGGGGGACATTTGGGATTTCAAAACAGTTCACATACACTCTCATCGAGAAAGAAAACCTAATGGGATCTTCACTTGGCTAAAGAGGTCACCAAGTGGTCACTTCCTGTCGAGGAGGATCCTCACATACTCTGTCAGATTTCATTAACCATTACATTTCTGTAACTCTTCTTAACAATTAACAAAACCAAAAACCAAAAAGTTTCTGTACTTAAACACAATGTTGAATACAAGATAACATCACCTTTTTGTGGGGGAAACAAACAAATAAAAGCATTTGCAGCAGGTGGCATTTCAGATGGGAGAAAATGCGAAACAAAATTGAACTTTAAAAGGAGATTTGTCTAATCCCGGTGTGCTCTACATAAGAGTCCAGTGCAAGCCTATGTGTAGCATGAAGGAAAAGAACAAAACAACAGAAAATTAAAAAGTCCAATGAAATGGGATCAAATGCCACAATGAAAAACAGCAGGCGCATATAAAGTGTTTATATATATATATATATATATATATATCAAACTGTGCAAAAAAATATGGTTATGGTCATTTACTTCTAATATATAATCATTTACATACACTATATATGTGCAGCTATAACAATAAAAGAGCAAAGCTAATCACCACGATAAACATGGTGACATTTTAACTTCAGTACCCCCAAGAAAACAACATAACACACATGGATTTATGCCTTTGGCTTCCCTATACTCAAATGCTTGAAATGAACGCGGGAAAACAGAATCTGAAACTCGATGCCTCAATTAAGATACATCATCATATACTGAATAGATAGACTACATGACTGTCAACCCTGCCACTGATTTCCTTCCATTCGAAACACTGTTATACAGAAACGTGAAGCAATTTGGAGGAAAGAGACAATCCCGACAGACCTTGTTAGTTAGTCACATGACAGGCATCTGTGGCACAATGATTGGCTCCTTTCTCAGGCAAAACTAACAATCAGCCTTATGGTAAATCTACGATGGATACAAACGCGACAGGGTACGGCACGAATCGAAAAAACAGAAAGAGAGAGAGAGAGAGAGAGAGAGAGAACACTGAAGTGAATGGGCACCTGGGTGTTGGAAAATGCATAAAGAAAAGTAAGAAAATAAAGCGGATTTGCATTGGTGGACCCTGCAATAGAGGAGGAAAGAGCCTAGTGCACCTCAGACCGACAGAGACACGAAGCTGTTGTACTGCTGTATGTTTCGCTTCAGGATATCTGAGCAGGGGCCGAGCACACGTTCGAACCGGGGACGGTCCAGTTTTACGCACTTCAGCGGGCCGCGAGCAACCACGGTGGCGGCACGAGGCCGGTTCATGAGCAGAGCGATCTCACCTGTTGAAGCACATATGGAGGGAAATCAGAAAAGAGCCATAGAGAAACAAACAAACAAACACATTAACGTGCACTAATGGACACTGCACATGGAATCAATATGTAATTACATTAGCAAAGGGATTTCTGGGATATGTTTAAATATACGCGGCATGACTGATTTTGCAGAAAGTAAAGAAAACACAATTACCAAAGTAGTCAGATGGTGCAAGTCTTCCAACCTCTACAAATTCCTCATTCTCCGACCGCCGCTGCAGGACTGCTGCCGAACCCTGAGGACACAAGTCTGAATCAATACGTCTGTTCTTCCATGACGTCTCTCTGAGGTTATAGGGCTACACTTTCTACAACAATTTCATCATTATTTACATTTTTTGTGAAGATCGAAGAAGTATACAAAACCATATGACTCTAATTAACACAAAAACTTGTTGGAGACGCGGATGAGAACAGTGTCAAAAAAATGAATAGATTTAACAAGGAAAGCTACCTCAAGAATAATGAAAAATTCATCTCCCGGTTGACCCTGCACAACAATCTTCTGGCCATCTTCAAACTGGACCGTCTCGAGGGCATCAGCAACTGTCAACCGTTCCCATTTATCCAGAGACTCTGCTCACATA